AGGTCCCACTTGAGTTTTGTCTTCAGTTTTTTTTTTTGTTTTTTTTTTTTAAAGATTTTGTTTATTTGACAGACAGAGAGCACAGTAGGCAGAGAGGCAGGCAGAGAGAGGAAGAAACAGGCTCCCTGCTGAACAGAGAGCCGGATTCGGGGCTTGATTCCAGGACCCTGGGATCATGACCTAAGCCGAAGGCAGAGGCTTTAACCCACTGAGCCACCCAGGCGCCCCCTTTCAGTTGGTTTTTACTCTTCCTAATTTTCTACCATGGATTACACCCTTGGGGTTTCATTAAATTTATGGACTATTTGAGGGGAGAAGTGACATCTTTATTATAGTGAATCTTCCCATTTATAAGCATTCATACCTCCCCTTTTAAGTCTTTTGAAAATGACTTTTGATAAATTTTTATAATTTTCTCCATAAAAGTGTCCTAGGAAACTTTAGTTATTATCACAAATGGTATCTTTTAAAGAAATAATTACATGTTCTATCAGTTTGAGTTATAGAAACTCAATTGATTTTTATATATTTTCTATCAAGCTGTCTTGCTGAACTATTTCCAGTGGTTTACTTGTATTTTATTTTGACATTTAGAACACATTATTTAGAACTAATCTTAGATTTACGGAAGAGTTGCAAAGATTTTTAGAGTTCTCCTATACCCTTCCCTTCATCCAGCTTTCCCTAAGGTTAACTTCTTACATAACTGCGGCACTTTTGTCAAAAAAAAAAAAAAAAAAAAAAAAAATCATACTGAAACATTACTGTTAACTAAACTACAAACTTTATTTGGATTCTACCATTTTTTCCACTAATGTCCTTTTTCTGTTCCAGGATCCAGTCTAGAATATCACATTGCATTTAGTCTTTGATTTTTAATGTAGAAAATTTTATCACCTTCAAAGAATAAAAGTTTTGTCCCTTAGTTTCCGTGTGCGTGTGCGCATGCTGTAGGTATCAGGTATACCTTCCTGTACAGTTGGGCTGACCACTGTTACCCAGGCTCTACTTACTCTACATACTCTACTCCCCCTAGAAATGTTGGTGCTTCCCAAGACTGTATCCTTTGTCCTTAATCCACACCTACTACACATTGTTCTGGAGGCTCTCATCCATTTTATATCTCCCTGTGTGGGTTGGGTGTAGCCTCTGTGCCCCGCTGTCCCTTGTTTGCTACAATTACCAAATCTTGATTTCTAGTATAGATTTCTTTTTTGATCTCCAGGTTCATATGACTGTCTTCGGGATATCTCTATCTGGATTTTCCACAGACTTTCAATATGTCTTCAGGGAGCCCATCTCATTGTCTTCTCTTATCCCTCCTCTTGCATTTCCCATCTTCATAATCTCCCAGTTATCCAAGATAGAGAAACCTGGCACTCATTCTGAACTCATCCCTCCCTTTCTTCTTTCCTCTTTTTTCCTTTCCTTCCTTCTCTGCCTTCTCTCACCTCCATTCCTTTCACTCCCTTTATGTCTGCTCCTATTAATTCTATTTCCTTCATTTCTCACATATTTATCAGTTTCTCTCCATTCTATTTCATTAAAAGCTCTCATCATTTCATACTATCAAACTTCTTAACACATTATCCAGAGATTCTGGCCTCTCCATCCCGTCTTGTCCCATGATGCCCTTTTCCACTGCACATACAACACCCTCACTCTCTGTGCCAGCTCTACCTAATCACCTGACGTCCTTTGGATATGCCGTGTTCTTCTCTTACTTCTTTGGAAGTTGTATATGGATTTTTTTTTTTTTTTTTTTTTTGGTTCCTGCTCTCTTTTCCTGACTAACTCCTGCTAATTTCCTTGGTCTCCAGTCAGTTGTCACTGTTTCCAGGAAACCTTTAACTTCCTAGCCTGGGTTAAAACTACTTCTGAGAACTCTCAAGGTAGTTTGTCTGTATTTCTCTCCTGGCACCTAAAGTATGGAGCTTGTTTGGTTATGTCTGTATACCATTGCTCTACTCTTGACAATACTGTATGTTCATCAAGGTCAAAGAACAATGTATTTTGCTTTGTACTTCCTATTGCTTAGCACAGTACCTGGCACATAGCTGTTACTAATAAATGTTTATTGAATGAATGAATAAACATATTCACCATTCTTGGAAACACAGACTTGCTGTTTCCAAGAATGATATCTTTCAACAGAGACAGAACTCTCTAAATGTCAGCTTCCTTATTTATAAATGAGAAGGGTACACTAGAAGATCTCCGAAGTCCTTTACAGCTCTAACAAATTGGTATTTATGATTTTAAGATTTATCATCCTTGAGGATATTCAAAAGAAAACAATACAAATTCTGGGGGAAATTCCAAAGGAATTCCAAAATATTTTGAGCAGTGGCAATAACCCTGGAATAATAATTTGGTTTTTTGGTTATATTGCATAGATAAATTGTCAAGTGCTAATGATCCGAGCACGTGGACATTTGAGTGGTTTATTTAGGATAATCAGAGTTTCTTTTCGTTTGCTAACATAGCCAAATCATTTTAGGAAGACTGTAAATTTTCCTTGGCTGAAGATTTTCAAGTGAAAGCAAGATGGCTATTTCTCTTGGATATTGTAGATGAGATTTAAAGTGTAGCTGTATAATGATGGGACTAATTGACCACTAAGGTCTCACCTGGTGATAAGATCCTTCAATTTTGTGGTTTACAGCTTTTGAGTTTTTTGTATTATTTTGTTTTTTGGTATAACAGGAAAAAAAAAGAGTTGGCTAGCACACTCTTTTTCCAAGTTCATCTTACTGGATTTAATATCAACATTAGAAAGCCACCAAAAGTTTATGTTTATCAAAATTGTTGACTTATGTGTATCCAAAAACTTAATATTGTGAGTGGTCTCCAGCTTGCTGAAATGATCTGGGTTAAATCAGTGTCCAAGGCCCAGTTTAAAAAGGTCTTTTAATGTAGTGGATTTTTAAAAATAGCATATATTTATCATTCATATAGAAAACCACATAAAACAGGACCCTGGGATCATGCCCTGAGCTGAAGGCAGACACTTAATGACTGAGCCACCCAGGTGCTCCCCTTTTATATCTTGTAATTGAGAAATGTCCTCTCCCTCTTGGAACTCATGAACTCATGAATGTGATTATTTCCATAGTCGTGTTTAATATGGTACACACTTATATTTTATTCTAGATTATTTTAAAATGCTGACAATGCTAACATTGTTATGTTCCTATAAAAGGAATGAAGAAAAATTCTTCAATGAAGAAAAATCTCAAAATATCAAAAGTTATATGAAAATAAAATATTTTTGTTTCATTATTCCATAACTGTTAACTCTTTGGGATAGTTCTCTACTAAATGGTATAGTGATAATTTTTCAAACCTCACTTTTTCATGTCATGTTCGATTCCATTCCACTCATACCTGGAAATACCTGGGAAAATTAACTTACTTTGTTTCTAATCTTATTTGATTAATATTTTAATTTCTAAACATTTGAATATTGACTGCTTCTTTCCTATTGCTTTCAAGAATGTCCTAGCTAGATATGTTCATAGGCCATATAATGGCCTATGAAAAAATTCATTGAGACCAGATAAATTTTATAAACAATGTATACCTGACCCCCTTATGGTGATTTATAAGGTATATAATGCAGGTTATAAGCAGCAAAGGTCTGAGTTTGGCAATAAAGAGTTAACTTGGCTTAACCAAGAATTTCCTAAATTTATTTAGCCCCAGAACCCCTTTTTAAATGTAACCTCTCAACTAAAATACATTTTGGAGAATATTATTTAGGCAGGACAGTGCTACCTCTGAATAGCAAAACAAGCTGTTAAGTTCATTTTTATTTGAATTAGATAACTATCCTAATGGAATAATCATAATCATGTAATATCTGTTTTTTCCCTATAATATGCTTAATATTGATAACACAGTATAATAGGTCATCCTCTTCAGGATCTTACATTCTGAAAATCTTTAAAAATACTGTAAAAGCAAATCAAGTATGAGCATTTTGTTTTCTCATGAGATAGATATTTGCAAAAAAATATAGGTATACATCACAACCTATCTGTAAGGAAAGATAAATGCATTGGTATTGTATTAAAGGGGAAGGTAGAAACAATATGTGTAGAAATGCAAGGAAATAGAAACCAAAAGAGAATAGTGATCAATTAGATTATATTTTATTTGTGAAGAATTAGTTAAAAATATCTTAAAAGGGGCACTGGGGTGACTTAGTTGGTCAAGTGTGGGGTCTTGATTTCGGCTTAGGTCATGAGCTCAGGGTCTTGAGATCGAGTCTGGGTCAGGCTCTGCACTCAGTGTCGAGTCTGCTTAAGATCCTCTTCCTCTGCCCCTTCCCCCACCCCACCACTCTGCAAGCATGTGCACTCGCTCTCTCTCTCTCTCAAAAAAACAAAAAAACACAACTTTTAAGAAGTTTAAACTTAGGCAGTAGTATGGAAGTTCTCACAAGTGGTTTACATTTTCATGTACTTTTATTTTTTAAAAAGATTTATTTATTAGAGGGAGAGAAAGCATGAGCAGGGGGACGGGCAGAGTGAGGGAGAGAATCCACAAGTAGACTCCCCGCTGAGTGCAGAGCCTGAAGCCAGGTCAGTCCTAGGACCCTGACAGTTTGACCTGAAGTGAAACCAAGAGTCAGTGGTTTAACCGACTGAGCCACCCAGGTGCCCCTACATTTTTATGTACTTTAAAATATGTTCACTTTTTTAAAACATGTAAGCAGTTAACAGGGCCAAGTGGAAGCTAACTGCACATCAAAGGAAAACATTCTCCATTCTGCCACTCTTCTCACTGACAATAGAGTGAGAAGGGACTCCAGAGGTACTCAAGTTCTAGAGGTTCTGCATCTCACCATGATATGATCTAATTGACACCCATCCCCGGCCCCCAACCTTGCCAACTCTCCCGAGTGGATTAGCTGGCTGCCCCTGTCTTCATATCATGGAAATGTGCAGACAGGTGTTTTTTCTGTGATGCCACAAAGGTGATTTTTTCCATTACAGTCAAACTGCAACTTCAAGCAGAAGAGAGAGGGGTTGTGTCCATCAAAGGAGTGTGTGCAAATCGCTATCTTGCCATGAAGGAAGATGGAAGATTACTGGCTTCTGTAAGTAATACTCTTTTTGTAGTTTTTTTTTTTCCTTTGTGAGTTTTGTTGCTGTTAATTTGCTAGTATTGGTATTTATTAAGGATTTTGTAAGTATTATCTAATTTAATCTTCATATTCACCTTACAAAATAGTACCACTCTCTTTATTTCATGGATACAAAAACTGAAGTTCTGAGTGAGTAAGTAACCAGGGAAACACAGCTCACATGTGGTAGAACCTGGATGGCACTTGAGGCAGTCTTGACTCTAGAGCCTGAGCTCCAAGTCATTGCATTTCACTGACTTATATGCAAAGCTATTGAACTAGAATTGTAAAAAAGAATTTTTATATTGTGCAGTTGTTTGAAGATCAGTGGGATGGATATATATACAATTTTGAGTATCAGTTTTTAAGTTTCTTCTTTCAGATTTCACATGCAAAATGTTTGCAGTATAGAATATCAGCTGAGGAAGTGGATTCTTAACCTAGATATAGATAGTGGTACTGCCACATATTAGCTGTGTGTTCTTAAGCAAATTATTCTGAGGTAGTTCCCTTACCTATAAAACAGAGATAATAATGATCCTATCAATATGAGTTTTTGTGAGGACTAAATTAGATAATTTATATCAAATGCCAAAATCCAGTTCATGCATAGTAAGTCCTCAAAAGTTTTACTTCCTCTTCCTTTTCTCCTTTATATATAAGCTCATTCAGGACAAGGACTACACTTTTTTACTTTTTATCACAGCTAGTCAGGAGTACTAGCTCCTGGCTAGTATTCTTTTCACTATGGCAGCCTCCCTGTCAACCCTACCATTGTCATTAGAACAGGATTACATGCCTGTTGGGCAGACACGATATGTGGGAAATACTGCAGAGAAATAAAGCAGACTCTCTGGGGGAGTAGATGGGACACTTACCTAAAAATGTGTGTGTGTGTGTGTGTGTGTGTGTGTGTGTGTATACACAAACCACAGCCATGATACCAATACCAGTGGCCAGTTACCATTGGCTATAACTTTCTCCCATTAGAGATCCAATATTAGAGCAGTTGTGGTATTTTAAGCTATACACATAGTTTTTTTTTTTTTTTTTAAGATTTTATTTATTTATTTGACACAGAGAGAGGGATCGCAAGTAGGCAGAGAGGTAGGCAGGGGATGGGGAGCAGGCTCCCTGCTGAGCGGAGAGGCCCATGTGGGGCTCAATCCCAGAACCCTGAGACCATGACCTGAGCTGAAGGCAGAGGCTTAACCCTCTGAGCCACCCAGGTGCCCCTACACATAGTTTTTGAATTTTTTTCTGAGTGACAACCTTTGGATTTCTGAAGGTACCAAAACAGACTTACGGAGAAAAAGGATATTTCAATCATCTGATTGATCGTTTGACAAGGATATATTTCTGTTGATATTATCAATTTGTGTGACTTTTGCAGGATAAATAACAACTCTGGGTGTAATGGTGTGCACTCCCTCTTTGGTAGTAGAATAAACTTTAGAATCCTCTTCAAGAATAGCCGATACTTACTGAGCGAACAGTGTGCCAAATGCTACGCTATAGGCATCTGGGTAATAAAGTTGAATACAAAATTGTGCCCTTAATGAATCACAATCCTGGGGGGGCAGAAGTGCAAGTAAGTATTTGTAACAATTGTAAGGGTTTTGATGTGTTCCTTCTATACCTCGTATAAATGCACAGTAATATTGGATAGGAAGTAAGAAGTATTGTTTTTTTTATTTTTTATTTTTTTAAAAGATTTTATTTATTTGACAGAGAGAGATCACAAGTAGGCAGAGAGGCAGGCAGAGAGAGAGAGAGGGAGAAGCAGGCTCCCTGCCGAGCAGAGAGCCCGATGTGGGGCTCGATCCCAGGACCCTGAGATCATGACCTGAGCTGAAGGCAGAGGCTTAACCCACTGAGCCACCCAGGCGCCCCAGTAAGAAGTATTATGACATAGGAAGTAATACAGGAAAGGAAGTGATTAAACTTGTCTTAGAAGATGACCCATCAATAGGATTTTAGGTAATGTAGAGGAAGGAATTCATCAGGCAGTCAGGGAGCAGAGGAGTGGAGATGAGGGTATAGAGAACTTTTAGAACATAGTACGTGCAAAGACATGGGTGCAGAAGGCTTAGGAGGTGTTTCTGTAGCATTAAAAATAATTCACTACTGCAGGAGTCTAAAGTGCAAAGGAAATGCAAAGTGGAAGGGAAGAGAGAAGGCTGGAGAGGTAGATAGACTGCCTGCTGAAATGCATTCTACACCATGTGTTACAAGCAGTGGAAAGCCATGAAGAGTTTTAAGAAGAGACACAATCTGTTTTGAATTTGAGAAACATCACTCTGGCAGCAGCATAGAGGACGGGTCTGAGGGGGCTGACAGTGCTGGAGACAAACCAGTTATTTAGAAGGCCATCGTAATAGTCCAAACAAGTCATAATGAAAGCCTGGCAGTGACAGAGCAGAGGATCGAGTGAAGTATTAGCACTTGAGATTGATTGGATTTAGGAGTGAAGTAGAGAGAAAAATCCCAGGTTTCTGGTTTGGATAAGAAGGTAGATGAGAAAGGGGAAGGAGGAAAAGAGCAAGTTCTGGGAAAAGGTAACACAGGTTCAAATTTAGACTTACCTCTTTTGAGTTGCTTAAGAGAAATTCAGGTGGGGATGTTCACTACGTAGTTGTAATTGTGGGTCTGGAACTTGGAAGAAGGTCTGTGTCCATATACAGATTTGGGTGTCATCAGCACATAGATAATAGTCAAATTCAGGAAATGGATGTGGTTCCTGGGCAAAAAATACAGTCCCAAAAGATTGACTACTTGGGACTTTTACTTGTACTGTTCTTGTCTTTTTTCCTACCAGTCTGTTGTCAACTTAAAGTGTGATGTAATATGTTGGGAATCTACCAAAGGAGCATTTTAAATATTTCCAGGACAGTGAATCAGTAATTTTGGATGACCTTGAGTTTGTTGAGAGGAGAGTTTATTCCTACTCTTCTCACGTCAGGATGTGACAAAACACATGTAGTGTGAATCATGATGGCTTCTGCAAAGGCTTGGTGTTAGTTTGGCTATTGTCAAACAGTGAAGGTGGTGGAGAAAATAAAGGAGATGCATAACTTTGCTTTTGTTATGACTAACTGTAGACAATACTAGTCAAGTGCTTTTAAAGTTCTCATTTTTTTTCTTTCTTAATCTGGCTCAGTGAATGATTTGAAATTCTTATCCTGTAGTTTTCCATTTACTGAGATTAGAAGATCCAGTAACCTGGTAATCACGGTGGCCTGTAAGATATTCATGGGAGGGATTCTTTATCTCCAGAACATAGGCTGGAATTTACGTTCATCTGTAATGTTGAAAAGCTTCATACTTGTCAAAAGTGATGAAAACAGAAGGTACTCTACTTTAAAGTGCATCTCTGAAACTACTGGGGTCCGTAAAAGAGGAGATGAATTTAGAACAATAGACATGAAAACTGAACTGTCATCTCATTCTTACAGAATTCTTTCCAAGTTAGAATGACCTCTTCTCTTGGTATATAGTCATTAAGCTTTCCAAACTGTTTTTCCAAACTTTTGGAAAGTTTTTTTCCAAAATGTTGAATCTATGCCATCAGAAGTGGAAAGTGCTCTAAAATAAAGTGTTTTATAGTTTCTTCCTTAACTCAGCGGGACTTTTTACAAGATTAAGGTATTTTATTTAGTCTTAAAGACGTTTCTATTTCTTTGGATATATGCTAATTCATATATAATACAGCAGATTCCCTTCAAGTTGATACAGTAAGAGTTACTTTAGCAGTGCTTCGAAATTTATCACAAACTATGTAGGAGGAAAACATGAATAGAAAATTCGGGATTTATCAGTTTCCTTTGAGCAATGGCACCAGCCAAGATTCAGTTGTTGTCCTTCCCATCATAGGCTCTACTCTTGCCAAGTTCACAAGTTAATCTCCAGTCTTACCTAATTCAGTGTATGTGGCTTGCTTCCTTGACTTTTCAGCAGCAGTACTATCTCTTTCGAATTAATCTGTCAATTTTCAGGGGAGAAGTGCCCCTACCATCAAATCAAGGAGGTGATGTTGGTGGGTCAGTGACATATTTCTCTCTGAGTCAGATTCATAGGCAGGGAGCTGTCAACAACAGCAACTTTTAGGCAAAGAATTAAACGTTTTGACCCTTGGTTATTAGTATTATCTGTGCCAGATATTTAATGGGATGAGACGAATCACTGATGGTAAAAGATACCATCGACAGGGATGTCAGCAGAGACCTCACTCAGGTGACAATGAGAAGAGACAGCTAGCATATAAAAAACTGAACAACAACAAAAAACCTAATAGCAACTTTTGGTATAAGTCCAGTATTGTGACCACTAGCCATCATGGGGATGCAAATGCCCCTTACAACCTGGAGAAGCTGGGGTTTATGAACTTGCACTTGCCATAGGCATAATTCTTTCCATTCTTCTACCTGGCCCCATTTCAGATTGTTGTGTTACGGCATATCCCTGGATTCCTCTGCCTTCTCCCCTGTTTATGATTCCTGCAGTGATTTGCAAAACATTCTCATTTCCTTTGGGCACGTAAAATATTTTGGTTTCTAAGAGTTAGGTTATGTCGATTGCTACCAATTGAGAGTATGAAAGAACACTGTTTTTTTTTCCTCCAATACCTTCACATAGTAATGGCATGAATGCTTTCAGGCTAAGGAATCTTCACTGTTTGAAAACATTTCTTAAGGGTCTTTCCCCCGCCCTCTTTTGAAACTAGAAAATCCAAAAGTTTAAAGAGTAACTATATTTAACTGCCAAAGCCTATATTTAGAGGCTGAACTTGAGTAGTTTTTTAATACACAACAGACTCTTACTCCTTTCCATAGCGGGATAAATTTTGTTGCCATGAACAACAGAGGTCCAGAACAAATATTAGGATTTATGATTTCTTATGTGTTCACAAAACTGTAGGTTTTTAAAAACTGCATATAATGAGGTTAACTGTAGTTTTACATTTAAGTCCCCAAACAACATCATTGTTGGCATTAGTAAAGAAAATTTGCCTGGTCTTTATGTGCTAGAAAATTGCCTGTTGATTTCTATATAATGCTATAGATCGTGATATCCTGAACAAGATATCTCAATATTAGAAATGTGTATATAACTTGTGTGGACCATAATAGTGAAACATAGAAAAAAAATTATTCTCTGAGGATATATACATTTAATTACTGTAAAAGTAAAATATATTTTTTTAACCTATAGAATAACTTTCTTAGTTGAGGGGCCTTAAAAATGAAATGAGACCTATATATACAGCAAAGTAGGGAAAATAGATTTTTGAGGGCTTAGTTATTGAGACTGACAATATATACTGATCAGGTTTGTCAGAAAAATACAGTAATTGAAGAGGAATGTATATTATTTTTCAGAGATAAAACACTAGGTTAAATGCAAAGTTTACTACTTAATGAGGATTATTGCTTTTAGAAACCAGTCTTATAAAATTTTACACAACCTATACGTATATACAAAGATTAAGGTCAAATTTGCTTTTAACTTTTCACAATTTGTGTGTTTTATTTTGTTCTGAAGTAATCAACACTAATACTTACATCATGTCTGTTTTTAATTCTCAGAAGTGGTGTAAGCAAAGCATTTTTGGATCCATGTTGAGCAAACTCCCTCATAAGCCAAAACTGAAAAATCAAAGTACTGTAAAAGAATAAACAATCCAAAAAACAGAACATGGGGGAAGGGCCATAAAGTTCAAATCTGACATTTAGCAGAGGACCAGATTTGTGCATTTGATGCGTAAGTGGAAGAGATGGTAGTGAGGAGGAGAAATTACCCTGCTTCTTATTTCTTTCCTCATTGTGTCATGACTTATGTAAATTTTGATAATCTGGCTGAAGTATTATTTGTCTTTACTATGAAGTTACTCTTTTTCCCCTCTTTCTACCCTGTGATTCTTTGGAAGTAAGTCATTGTACATAGTCCACATTTAAGGGATGGGGCTAATGCTCCATCTCCTTGAGGGAGAAATATTTACAAATTTGTAATTCTTTTGCATGAGAAATTTGTCTATTCTCCATTTATTTATTCAATCACTTATATCAGTATACACTCATGGGTGTTTATTTTATATTGTGGGTTATAATCCAATACTGTGTTATTTATTTTTTTCAAACTGTTTTTGCTATGGTCATTGGGAGCTTTTTTTTCAATTGGAAAAATTGGCTCCTATATTCTCTGACACACCCCCATCAATGTTGGAGGATTTTGAGCACTTCCTAAAGGCCTTCAAGATGCTCTGCATTCATCCTCTATATTCCTTACCATGTTCTAGGATGAGCCATTTCTCTAAGGAGCCCTCATTGCTCTTATGGGCAATGGTATTAGAAACCAAGTTCTGGATGTTGGGTTTGTTTTTTGCTGATGAAGTGTGTTTGCTTCTAGGCCCTCTTATCTGACAGAGCAAGAGATATAGGCATATACTACCCTGGGTATATATACATCTATAACTATTTCTCTATCTGTATATTAAGACAAACCTAAGTACTTCTTGATGTCTCCAACCCTAATCCGCCAGTATCACATGAATCATTTTAGCCTCCCTGTCTGGTCTATAGCCTCCCACTCCAACAGTGAGAAGCCTGGTTCCCACCATCTCCTAGATCAGTTTTTTAATATGTGTAAATATATCACTTTACTTTCTTTTTGGACTTTCCAAGTAAATATCTTAGACAAAAACCCATTTAAAATGTTAATTATGCTTTTCCAAACTCTACTTGATTCTTCCCTATTCAGATACCCTACAAGGGGTCAAACTCCCAGAACCACATTTAAAACCATTGGCACATTGTTATCACTGTCAACAAATCGTTTAGGACTCTGAGCTAAGCGGGTTCATGTGGGCAGCCTTCAGGGAAGTCTTTTGGTGTGCCTACCACTAACACCTGACAGATTTAAATGACTCTCGTACATGTACATCTACATTCCCTTTTTAGGTTCCACACCTTTTATAATTGAGACTAATAGCTCATTGGAATTGTTGTAATTTAACATATTTTCTAACTTTCCAAATAAATTAGAAATTTTCATCTGCCAATTCTGTGGCTGTTCACATTAGCAAGAGGAGAATAAAAGGTTAAAAAAAGGTTAAGCGTCGTGTCTATTATATAGTATGTGGTCAATACACATTGTCTTCATTAGAATGCCTAATATTTATCTCAAACGCAACATGTCCAAAACTGACTTCCTCATCTTTCCCCATAAAACCTGTTCCCACTCATAGACTTCCCTATCTCAGTTGATGGTAAATCCACATTCTAGAACATAAACCATTTTGAAAATGTAGTTTGTTTTCAAGTGTGTAATAGTTTAATAAATTTACGTATCTGAACATTCAGCACGGATGCAAGTTTTCGTTCCTTCCCCTTTGTTTTGTAAAGGTACAAGTAACTTCTATAAAAAAAGAAAAAGTGGGTTTATAATGTGTTATCCTCTTAATCACCACTACTGTTACTTTCCTCTGAAATACTAGGAACTGGCTGAGAAGGCAGATCCTGTTGGTATGGCATGTATCCCAATAGGCCAGGCATTGTAGGGAGTGCCAACCGAGCAAGGTCGGGCACCCTGGAGGCTGACAGAATATCCAAAAATCAAGGTGGTTAGGTCTCCCTCTGGGGATTTAGCCTGTGACGCTTAGTGATGACCTTTCATGTTATCTTTATGATCATCATGATTTTTTGACTCTTTACTTGTGCCTGCTTCTTCTACTCCTGATCTTAAACCTGGAACAGGGAAGAGGAAGATTTTTATCTTTGGCACTGCAAAGTGACAAAGTAACACAGATTGACTTCAATTAACATGAAAAGCAAATAAATTTCACCAAAGGTAAAGTGAAAGTATTGGCTACGGAATATCCACATCTTTCTAGGTGTAAGTGTTTCACTGTTATCACACTTTTATCTTTACCCCACATGGATCACATAGCTGCATACTTGTGCAATGTATGCTCCTTTGTAATGCTACCTGTCATTTATTTGCATCACAAAGACAAGTTGCTTTAGTAATTTCTTGCAAAAAGTGGGCAAGTTAGATAAGTTTGTATATCCATTTTTAAAAGTTAACGGTGATCAAAACATTAAAGCCAAGTAAATATCCAGTAAAATTCTTATCCCTAGAAGCAGATTATAGGATCTAATACCACACCCTTATTTTAGATGACTGAGATGCCTGTTACATTCAGATCATTTTCATTTTGGTTGTTATGCCAGCTCTTTTCATTGTTCTGTCCATTGATTTATGTTTTTCTCACAGTTTGTGCCACTGTTTAGTTTATCTTAGAACTAAAGAATCTGGGAAAAGATTCAAGTCTTTTGAATGTGTGTTTTCCTAACCCTCCTAGATTTGAGTATATAGAAATAAGCTGGAATCTGGTAAACTCATTAGGTTTATGTCATATACCTATGTATACATGTTGTATTTATATATAGATATAAATATGTATAAATTTATATGGTTTTCTATGAGTTTCTAATTCTCTCTTCCTATCTAATTTAATATGAAAAATTATTTTTCCTTTCTTCCCTTAGAGTAAATCGTTTGTTGACACCCCCCCACCCAACACATACCCCAGAGGCCAGTAACTATCATCAGTCTACCCTGTGAAGTTGATTTTTTGAACATTTACTTGAAATAATGTAGCAGCCTATTAGACTCCATTTCTTGGAATAGTATTTCCAGGTCTAACTATCTGTAAAGCTAACTACCCCTACCCCATTAATAGCTGAACTGAAATAAAAGGGGAGACTAGTCTCCTCTCCCGCAAGACACTGCCAGAAATCAATATGGTCTACATTACTTATTCTCCATTATCTACTAGTGTTTTGAGAATTCTAACATATAATGTTCCAGTATAGTTTTTGGGCATTATATACATTAGCTATTTCCTATAAAATATTGTTTTTATGCCTTAGAAATGGTAACCACTAGAAAAAAATTGCTATAATTTAAGGAATTGGTTCTGTTTCTGTGAGTAAAGTATTAACAAAACCCTCTTCTTCAGGAAGGTTACTTCTGGGTTACCCTTCCATCACTGGCATGGAACCCTGATAAAAGTAAAAATGACCCCTGACTGGTCACCTGCCTGTGGACTGGGAGGAATATGGATGCACCATGAATACCAAGCTGGAAGCCACAGCTGTGGGTTTTATGAAGTGTAGTGTGCTCTTTGTTAGTGGGCGTAACCCCCTTTGTGAAAGCTGTTCACGGGGTGTTTCAAGTCCGAGGCAGGGCTGCGCCCATTGCATCTGTGTGCTCTTGCTGCCTGAACACCTGGTCTGTCCCTTGGCGGGGCTGGAGAAGGTCCCTGGATTCTTCATCTGAGGAGGCGTTTGAAAGCTCTTCTGCTGACTTGCTGTGTTCCTTCCTGCACCCCACCACTGAGCTAAATTCTGTTAAACTTTTGGTCTGTTGAATCTTGCAAACTAGTTTGTCCCTCTCGAGCGAAGAGCACCGCTGCTGGTTGAGCAGAATGGGCAGTGTAGTGTCATAAGTATTTCATATGAAAATATAAAAGTAACTACTAATTTTTCCTTTATTTTTCAGAAATGTGTTACCGACGAGTGTTTCTTTTTTGAGCGATTGGAATCTAACAACTACAATACTTACCGGTCAAGGAAATACTCCAGTTGGTATGTGGCACTGAAACGAACAGGGCAGTATAAACTTGGACCCAAAACAGGACCTGGGCAGAAAGCTATACTTTTTCTTCCAATGTCTGCTAAGAGCTGATCTTAATGGCAGCATCTGATCTCATGTCACATGGAAAAAGACGTATATTTTTGAAATTTGTTAATGAAAGAAAAGAAAAAAAAATGTGTACAGCTATCTGCTCAGTTTGCCTTACTAAAGAAAAGCAACAAAAATTCCCGGAAAATGTATAGACGTCCACCTTTTGTATTGCATTTTCCTTTATCCACTGAAGCTTACTTAGTGCTACAATCTTTTTCATACATTTGCTTCCTTGGAAAAGAGGCTTTTAAAATTTGCATGTTTTCATCAAACAAGTTTTCTTATGAAAATTATAAACATTAGAATATTAAAGTCAGATATTTAGTTAACCCCAAATGTCCACTACTTTTTATTGTACGGCACATGTTATTCTGCATGTGCAATTTACTTAAAATTTTTAAAAACATGTAACTATGGATTTAATCCATTCTTGTCATAGTTCTGTAATTGGCTGGCAGATCCTTGTGATAGAGTTTATAGAACAAGCCTGTGTAAACTGCCGGAAGTTCTTCCATGGTGAAATCAATCTTGTCAAAGCCTTCTCTGTACCCATAGAGCAGCAGCCTAGCAACTCTGCTGGTGATGGGAGTTGTATTTTCAGTCTTGACCAGGTCACTGAGATCCATCCATTCACACCTTAAGCATTCATGCTGGCAAAAATCTATGGTGAATGAATGTGGCTTTAAGCGACAGATGATATACATATCTGACTTCCCAAAAGCTCCAGGATTGGTATGCTGTTGCCGAATGCTCAGGAGGGACCTGAATTCTGATCTTATACCAGTCTCTTCAAAAACTTCTCGAACTGCTGTGTCTCCTACATGAAAGAAAGATGTACAAATCAGTAAGAATCACATTTTTAGAATTTTAATCATCAAAGATTTTCAAATAAAGTAGCATTATCTAAAGGTTGAGAAGCAAAAAACCATCCTAAGAAAGTGTTCAACATAAACCCTTTGCCTTCTGGACATCCTGAAATACCAAAGTATTTTCTTACCAGTGTACATCTTAGAAGCTTTTGAAATATCGAATATTTCTTTGGCTGCTATGGGTAGGCTTACCCACCTGTATACTTTGGGAGTCACATTTTAACTTCTTCTGGCTCTATTTCCCAAAAATTGAACACACAGGTTCCTCCAGTTAATATTCCCACATATTTCTTCATTATTATCCTGTTTGTGGTCATACATCAAAACCGCCCAAACTTAAACATATCAGTATTGAGAAAAAGTGATTTGTTCTTCCTCACGAGTCTGTAGAGCTGCAGAATGTATTGAGCTGTGAACAGTTCAAATCCTTCCCGGTGATCCTGGGTGGGGCTATCAAGCCTCTGACATCCTAGAGCAGTTTCACTTATAACCATTCTGTTATGCTCCCCTAGTTATCCTGTCAGCAGAATCCCAGTATGGTAACTTTTGGCATTTCCTTTGTTCCTTGAGATTCCAAAGAACTATTTTATCAAAAGCGTTTAAAAAAAAAAAAAAAAACAAACTTGTAATTTACAGAATTTTATAATACGACAAGGGTTTCACATTTTAAAAGGTTGGTTCTTTTCAATATTATGTAAATTTCTGGGGCAGGATTTTGGTTGCCATTAACATTTTTGTGGTTGCTTTTCCTAAATCTCCAGAAGAACCCCCTAAATGGACTTTCTCTAATTTTGGGATGTTCTGTCACTGTCTCCCAGAGTGGTCATGAGAAATTCTTTAAAAAACTGCTTTCTTTGCTCAGTTTGCTAGAAGCTTTCCAATTTCACAATTGCCACAGGCATAGATTTTTGTTCAAAGACCTCTATTCAATGCTTCTGTGTCCTTGTTTGTCAAATAGAAAATTATATTTGCCTTCTCAGTAGTCCTACTGGTGAAGAATAGGCAAGGAAGGGGAAGTCAGGGAAAAAAATCTCAATTTCCACATATTCTGATTATAGATTGTCTTAATTGCCTACATATGCTTATGGGTGTGTCTCCCCCCGACCCCCGCCCCACTAAGAAAACAGCTCTGGAAATATGCACAGGAAGCAAAGTGTTCTAAAATATAAGACATTTGTCTGCCATTTTGAACTACATGCTGACTTCCCCTTCCCTTGAGGTTTGCCATAGATTAAACATGGTTAGAACTTACTGTTTTAAACTAAAAATATGAAAGAATGTATGTGAATAAAAGGAAAACCTTTCTTAATAAGAAAAATAATTTTCAGCTTGGAATACAATATATGTTTGTTATTAAATCTGTTAGATTTAATTAATAAATCTGAGATTGTGGCACTAGTCTTAAATTTGCTGATTTCACTTAGCTCTTGTTTAAATGTTTATTTTTTTAACACCTTGAAAAATAACCATGGGGTTCTGTTAAACTCTTAGTACCACTAATCCAAAGTCTGGCATTTCATTTGGAATCTAGCCTTTTTATGTATCATGGAGGCACAGGACAGACTAGTGAGTGGATCTACCCTACTAAGCAGTCACCTTAGCAGCTGATTGGAAGTCAGCACTGCCTCGGTAGTTTGATCAGTTTAATTTGAAGCAGCATATCATTGACTGGACTAAAAACTGAATGAGTAGATAAGTGCTTTTCCAATCAGGGTATGAGTGACTCCTTCCACCTCAAGATGGAAATCTTTACCCCAAGGCTTTTTTGCCAAGAATTAAAAAAAAAATTTTATGCCGATAAACTGCTTTATTCTTTTGTACTTTTATTTTAATGTACTGTAAGCCGAACTGAAATAACATTTACTGTTTTATATGTTTAAAGAACCAAGAGGGTTTGTTTTTATTTTTGCCAATTGAGAGCTATGTTTAAATATGTCACACAGTGTTTTGTTTAGTTACAGGACAGTGAAATGGAATTTATTTTGTTATTTCTATTTTGTAATATTTAACAATAGGATTAGGTTGAAAGAAAATAGGAAAGACTGTTTAGCTTGTGGGTTTTCCTGGCGTTTCCCTCTGATTCTGGTGCACTGATGAGTTCTGAGCAGCCCCCACTGCTTTATGGTCCTTTGACCATGCAGGAGATTCTCTTCCTGTCAATGTAGTGAATTTTTTTTAGGAAGGCAATTTCTCTACTTTTAACCTTGTAGATACTTTCGTACTATTAGGGTATTATATTAAAGCCCGAAGATTTCATTCTGTTTTGTATATGACCCCCTTAGTTTTTTTAAGCACTATGGATAAGAGTGTTTCATTTACCTAGTATTATCAAAGAATGAAGGATTCCAAACAAATGTGTTTCTCGGTTAACTAGTGTTTACTACTTAAGAGCTAATATCAATGTGTGCACATTTGTGACGGCTGTATTCCTAAAGTATATTACATACTTTCCTAAATACGGACTTTAAAGAAAACAATTTTGATAATTATTGGGTAATTTGACTTTATCCTTAAGAATAATCTATTGTGTTGTAAGACGGAAATGCTCTAATATAGACAGACATAATCTTTCAGAACTCTATTGTCAGTTATCATTTCTAGCTGTTTCAGGCTTTTATCAGTTAATTAATAATACTCCTACACAATACAAGGAATGCCAGTGGCTGCTTTTCTTATAACTCCTCATGGCTGAATAGGTGGGTTGTTGTACCAACCACAAATACTTAATTCAGAGTTCACTTTTTTTTTAATCTGGACTTGAAGAGTTCTGGAGTATACTTAAAACTAAAACTACGCATACTTGGCTTGGAAATGTGCTTCTTCATTTGCATTAAAATGTAAGTATCTTGAAAATTCACAAAATCTGTAAAAACTCAAAAGGAAAAAGTCAACTGACTTTTTGAGATGGCAAGATGCAGAGGAGGAAGCTAAACATACCTTCTGTACCTGATTTTTGCCTAATATAGATTGGGTAACGATGTAAGACATAAATTTAATTAGCTCACACACACTCTCATATATCACATAAGGGTAGTGTGAGACTAATTAGGTGTTCCAAAATAAACGGCCCTCTCTTTTAGCACTTGTACCACCACGAAATCTTCTTTCTACAGAAGACCCAAGCAATGGACTCTAAGCAGAAGATCCATAAGTACCTGAAAACCAAAATTTGCTATGGATATATCTCATTGTAGTAAATTTACTTATGGTTTGTTAGGAGTTGGCTACGTACTGTGTATAGGGCATTTTAATCTGTGTGACATTTTTAAAAAATGAAGTTTCAAATATATATACGTTTTTAAATAAAATATTTAAAGATAACTTAGGAAGTTGCCTTTATATATAAATGTTGGGTAATAGGGGACATGCATATAGAGGAAAAATCATGGAAAATTACAGTGATACCAAATGAGGCATCTATTGATTTATTATGATGCAGACTGCATTTGACGCAGTCACGGGTCAGGAATAGGTAGGAAAACTCTGTTTTTATTCTTTCTTCTGTTTACTGTAGATTCAGTAACAGAGTTCTTAGCTTATGTCACATTTCTGTTTGAAATACTGAGCTCAGGAAGTTGCTTTAAGGAACTCTCAGTTGAGACTCACTTGTATGAGACATTTTATTACGTTTTGGCTTCCTGACTATTTAAAATAAATAGCAGATAAAATTTTTATAGAGGGGAATTAAGTCACTACTGCTCTATAACTGAGTTTATAAATACTTATTTTGAAGTTCATTTAAAAGTTACTATTCATCCTTGTGTGGTGAAATGGTCAAGAATTTGTGTTTTCTTATAGTATAATTCCAGGAACAATATTAGTCATATCCCAAATCACCCTTAATGCTAAACTTTACTAATGTATATACAAAACTTTTTATTTTCAAACACATTACTCTAGAAGCAACCCTAAGCAAAATAGGTGGTATGCTCCTAATGGTATTTTTTATACTAGTGAGATAAGTTGTAATATTACAAGTTTTGCTGCTAACTTTATATTAGCCCTGAATTAACTTCTCTGAAATGTCTCAGTCTAAACCCATTAGAAAATTTAAAATCTTATTTTCAGCTATAGAGCAAACAAAGTAAACATAAATTTCTGAACATTTCCAAGCCAATTAAAAATATGTAAGGTATACACACCAATATCTTCTCCAGGCTCTGACAGGCCTCCTGGAAACTTCCACATATTTTTCAACTGCAATATAAAGTCAGAAAATAAAGTTACCATAGCTTCATTCACTAACACATACACAGAGACCCCACAAAATCCACCCATAATTGGTCAATGTGTTGAGAATTTATCTTTTGCTAATGGCATGTAAATTTCCTTCACCTTCCTTTTTCCACCCTTTCTTCTTCTCAGGTGGGGGAAACTGGTTACTTAAGAAATCTTTTCCTACCTTTTTCTTCAGGAAATAGAAGTGGTTTTGTTTGGTTAATGTGATAAATTCTGTATGAATAAAACAGTGGAGGGAAATATCTACTGAATTTGTATAATTTTTAAAATTTTGCTGCTAGTTAACTATTAACAAATAGATGGATCTTACAGATGCTGCTATAAATAAGTAGAAAGTACAGTATAAATTTAATAACTAAAGTATGCTGTTTTTAATTTTTCACATTTATTTTCTGTATTGTGTGTCTAATCAGATTTCTCTTGTTCTGTGTGTTAATGATTTTATGTACATATGTAATTGCTTTTCATGGGTAGTATGAATAAATTTGATTAGTTTAAGCTTGCATTGTTTTTGTGTTTGTATCATTTCATATTTTGGTGGGAGGCAGGTGGGAAGATATGTTCTTAGAATGAGAGCACATATGGGAAAAATGATTATAAATATGAAATGGCATGGGACAATATTCTGAAGGCTGACTTGATTTTCTTCCTGTTACAATTCTGTTATATATATATATATATATATTAACATGACAAAACAGAATGAAAAATTATTATGTACTCATAAAGGTCCTATGGCTTAGAAATAGTACACTTCATGTTTCATTCATAAAACAGGTTTATGGACCTTTTATTGGTGTGCTTTTTGACCCACTCATTTCCTGGATGAGTGCTTCATAAAGAATGTGTCATTTCCCAACTGGTCTAAGTTGGAGACCAATGGCATGGTTCCCAGTTTCCACAGACTGTTGATTCTGTGGGTATAGAATTCAGGCTTTCCATCCTTCCCTGTCTGGCTCAGACTTGAGATTAATTTATAAAGCATATTTTATTAATGTATAAATATATCTCTATGCATATCTCTACATTAATACACTATCTTTGGGATTTTGTTTTGAAATCGTTCCAGAAGCTATTTCTATAGAAACTATCCAGTCTTTTTCCTGATACAATGTTAGATTTCACCACCATAAATTCTATTTCTAACAAAAGAAATGTTATAATGGGGGCAGAAAATGCTTCCCCCAAACAATAACTTAAAATCTTTACCTAGACTTGACTATAGAGACTGTTGATTTAATTATGAACTTACTAGAAGGGGGAAGATTGTAGATATAAGGACTAGAAACAGCTTACATTAATTTCATTTTATTATTTCATAAAACACAGGTATGGAAAGATTAACTATATATTTTTGTGGTACTCTGTGGCATTTTCTGGCACCACTTGGGTTTAAAGAGCTTATGTGAAAAAAGCTTTCTATAGGATAAATACCTAGTAGTGCAATTGCTGGGTCATAGGGTAGTTCTATTTTCAACATTTTGAGGAACCTCCATGCTGTTTTCCAGAGTGGTTGCACCAGCTTGCATTCCCACCAACAGTGTAGGAGGGTTCCCCTTTCTCCGCATCCTCGCCAGCATCTGTCATTTCCTGACTTGTTAATTTTAGCCATTCTGACTGGTGTGAGGTGAAGATGATGTGGTATATATACACAATGGAATACTATGCAGCCATCAAAAGAAATGAAATCTTGCCATTTGCGACGTGGATGGAACTAGAGGGTATCATGCTTAGCGAAATAAGTCAATCGGAGAGACAACTATCATATGATCTCCCTGATATGAGGGAGACGAGATGCAACATGGGGGATTAAGGGGGTAGGAGAAGAGTAAATGAAACAAGATGGGATTGGGAGGGAGACAAACCATAAGTGACTCTTAATCTCACAAAACAAACTGAGGGTTGATGGGGGGAGGGGGGTTGGGAGAGGGGGGGTAGGGTTATCAACACTGGGGAGGGTATGTGCTATGGTGAGTGCTGTGAAATGTGTAAACCTGGTGATTCACAGACCTGTACCCCTGGGGGTAAAAATATATGTTTAAAAAAAATAAAATTAAAAAAAAAAAAAGCTTTCTCCTCTCTTGCAGAAAGCTTGAGCCTGCACTTAGTTCAAAGTGGTAGATAGAAAGGCTTAAGTTAAGTGGTTTGGAAAACCTGGTTAATGTTGCAGATATGATCATTGGAGGGTTGAGTTTATTTTCTCACCTTTTTCAGTATTAAAACAAACTTCCACTTAGGTCTTTTTTTGATGTTGTTAAAGATTTATTTATTTGGGAGAGAGTCTGTGTGTGCAGGGTTGGGGGAATGGGGGTGGCAGAAGGAGAGAGGCAGGGACAGGGAAAGAAGCAGACTCCCCTGAGCATGGAGCCTGACTCAGGGCTTAATCTCACAAACTGAGATCACAGCCTGAGCCGAAATCAAGAGTTGGATGCTTAACCGACTGAACCACCCAGGCACTCCATCCCATTTAGGTCTTTAATCCATTTTGAGTTTTTGTATATAGTGTTAAAAAGTGGTCCAATTTTATTCTTTGACATGTAGCTCTCCATTTTCCTAGCACCATTTATTGAAGAGACTGTCTTTCTCCATTGTATATTCTTGCCTCCTTTGTCATAAATTAATTGAGCATATAATTTTGGGTTAATTTAAAAAAATTCCCATTAACTGGGCTTAGCAATACAAATAATAATAATAACAGCAACTTCCAGGGAAAATGGTGGAGTAGGAGGACCATAAGCTCATCTCATCCCAACCCACACCTAGCTAACACAAGAAGTACCCAGCAGTTTGATGCTATTGCACCTCTGATAAATCCCTGGGAAACAGAAGGACAGCACCCAGCAGTCTGATGCTATCACACCTCTGGCAAATGCCTGGTCTGACTCAACTCAAGCCCAAGGCAGCCCCAGACTGGCACAACAACATAGGGACCAAACTCTGCCCCCACAACAGAAGGAGAGAGCCATGCTTATACTATTGCAAAAGCAGCTCAATTACAACAGCAGGGCACATGACAATACACATAAGAGACACCCCTGAAGAGTAAGTTCTGGTGAACAGGGCCCTCCAGGACCTTTTCTTCAAAAGGCCACTACTTTCAAGAGCAGGAGACATAACTGAATTTCGAAACACATACATAGATTCAGGAAGTCAGACAAAATGAGGAGACAGAGGAATACGTTCCGAATGAAAGAACAGGCCAAAATCACAGCAAGAAACTAAATGAAACAGAGATAAGAAATATGTGTGATAGAGAGTTTAAAGTAATGGTCATAAAGATACTGGACTTGAGAAAAGAGTAGGGGACCTCAATGAGACCCTCAAGAGATAAAAAACATATGAAAGAACCAATCAGAGATGAACAGAAGAACTGAAATTAAAAATACACTAGATGGAATAAATAGTAGACTAGAGGAAGCAGAAGAATGGATAAGCAACCTGGAGGACAGAGTAATGGAAAGCAATCGAGCTGAACAGGAGGGAGAAAAAGTAATAACAGAAAATGAATACAGGGAACTTAGCAATACTATCAAGCATTTTAACATTCATGTAGATGTCCCAGAAGAAGTGAGAACAGGGGGGCAGAGAATTTATTTGAAGAAGTAATAGCTGAAAACTTCCTGAATCTGAGGAAGGTAACAGAAATCCAGATCCAGGAGTCACAGAGAACCTTTAACAAAAGCAAATTAAGAAGGTCCACACAAAGACACATAGTAATTAAAATGGCAAAAATTAGTGATATAGAATTTTACAGGCAGCAAAAGAAAACAATAACATACAAGGGAAACCCCATAAGGCTATCATCTGCTGGAGAAATCTTGACATTGAGTGCCCAGTCTACACTAACGTAAACCGGTTGATAGGTCAAATTGTTTCCTCCATCACAACTTCCCCCAGTTTTGATGGAGCCCTGAATGTTGATCTGACAGAATTCCAGACCAAATCGGTGCCGTATCTCTGTATCCACTTCTTGGCCACATATGCCCGTGTCATCTCTGTTGAGAAAACCTACCATGAACAGGTTTTTTGTAACACAGATCACCAATGCATGCTTTGAGCTAGTCAACCAGATGATGAAATATGACCCTTGCCATAGTAAATTCATGTCTTGCTGACTATTGTACCACAGCAACATGGTTCCCAAAGATGTCAATGCTGCCACTGCCACCATCAAGACCAAGCATACCATCCAGTGTGTGGACTGGTCCTCCACTGGTTTCAAATTTGGCATTAATTATCAGCCTCCCACTGTGGTACCTGGTGGAAACCGCTTAAAGTACGGTGAGCTGTGTGTATGCTGAACAACACCACTGCCATTGCAAAGACCAGAGCTCACCTGGACTCAACTGGATGTATGCCAAGAGTGCCTTTGTTCACTGGTATTGGTGAGGGCAGAGAGGAAAGAGAGTTTTCTGAGGCCTGTGAGCACATGACTGCCCTTGAGAAGGATTATGAGGAAGTTGGTGTGAATTCGTTGAAAGGAGAGGGGGAAGAAGAACAAGAGGAATATTAAAGTTAATGTCACAAAGGTGCTGCTTTTATAGGGAAGGTTATTCTGTTTTGAACATTGAAAAGTTGTGCTCTGATCAGTTAATTTCTATGTAGCAGTGTATATTCTCATATACAATCACTGAACTATGCTTTAAAACACAATGCTTTGTTACAGACCCAAGGTGTCCATTTCTCTGATGGGTTTGAATACAGTATTCCCTGGAAGAAAAAGAAGAAGAAGAAAAAAAAGAAGAAGTAAGGAGAAAGAAGAAATGAGAAAGAGGTAGAAGGAAGGAAGGAAGGAAAGAAAAGGAATAGGAGAAGGAGAAAAAGAGTACAGATCTGCTAGCCTCCTCCTTTTGGTTCTCTTGTATGATCTGACTTTCTTGGTCTTCCCTTTCACTTTGGCTGAATGCCAGAAATTTGATTTTTATTTCCACTATTCTAATCTTTAATGCTACTACTCT